GCCTCAGCCTCAGCCTCAGCCTCAGCCTCAGCCTCAGCCTCAGCCTCAGCCTCAGCCTCAGCCTCAGTATCAGGCGGTAGCTGAATTACTCCATACCAGTCAATGCATGGGTGAATTTCCTGAGACGCCCTTTGCAGTTCTTCCAAGTATATTCCTCTCTGGCCAGAACTGTATTCTCATACACTGAGCTGCCAACCCTTTTCTGATTCGTTCTCTGGAGCTCTGGTCTTCTCCAAAACATGATACAGGCTCTGCCCAGGTTTCTCTCTCTCGGAGTAGATGAGGGTGGTAACTCAGAGCTCACCTTCTTTCTCCGGTCTCTTGGGACACTGTCGTGGCCTGTGTCTACATTCTTAAGAACTCCTGTTCCATGTATCTTACTTTGCTTTTTTCGTCTCTTCTCACAGCAGGTAACTCTGGTCCCTAGTGCTCTGTCTCAGCATGAAGTAGATATGCATGTGATAGCTCACTGGTGTGTCCCTGAGAAAACAGTTTTACAAAAAACCTTGATGATAAAAGATGACATTCATAGCCGGGCAGTGGTGGCGCACGCCTTTAATCCCAGCACTTGGGAGGCAGAGGCAGGCGGATTTCTGAGTTCGAGGCCAGCCTGGTCTACAGAGTGAGTTCCAGGACAGCCAGAACTACACAGAGAAACCCTGTTTCGAAAAACCAAAAAAAAAAAAAAAAAAAAAAAAAGATGACATTCATAATTTAATACTGATTTTTGTTTATTTATTTTGATTTTATGTGTGTGAATGTTTTAACTCCAGGTATGTTTGTGTGCCGTGCCCGAAGAAGCCAGAGGAGAGTGTTAGATCCCCTGGAACTGGATGGTTATGAGCCTCTGTGTGGGTGCTGGGAACTGAACTCGGGTCCTCTGCAAGAAGTGGGCGCTCTTAACTGCTGGACCATCTCACCAGCCCCTTGTGCTAAATATTTTAAGATCTGTTTGTGTGGTTTGCATGTGTGTGTGCCTATTTGCTTGTATGTTGATGTGCATACATGTGTTGATGTGTGTGCATATTTGTAGAGGTCAGAGGTTAAGTTGGATGTCTTCTTTAACAGTTCACCATATATATTGAGGCAAGGTTTCTCACTTGAGTTCAGAGCTTGACAGTTTGGCAGGTCTAGCTAGCCAACTTGCTCTAAGGATCCCCTGTCTCTGCCTCTCTGCACTGGGCAGGTTGTCACACCCAGGCATTTGCATGGGTGCTGGAAGTCTGAACATCTATCCTAGTACCTGTGGTATCCCCTGAATGGTCCCCCAGTCTTTAATGCTAATTTCTTTTCATGTATATGGATGTTTTGCCTACATACATGTTTGTGTATCACTTGCATGCTTGGTTCCTGCAGAGGCCAGAAGAGAGCATCTAGCCTTTTGAACTGGAATTACAGAGAGTTGTGAGCTGCCATGTGGATGCTGGGATCAACCCCGGGTCTTTTAGAAGAGCATTCAGCCCTCTTAACTGCTGAGCCGTCTTTCCAACCTGCCTCTAGTGCTAAATATTCAGTATGTGTATGTGTGGGTTTGTACTTGTGTGTATGGGTGTTGTATCAAAGCGTACGAAAGAGCAGCAGAGACATGGGAAAGCAAGGCAAATCTGCCTTGTGACTGTCGTCGGTGAGTGACGAGCTAACAGGGTGATTGATGTCTTCTTTCTTGTCTTTGCTATAAATGCCAAATTAATATTTCTCCTATAATCTAGGAAAGATTAACTGAACATTTATGATGTTTGATTCGGTTTTTTGTTGTTGTTTTGTTTAGATCTTGCTATATAGCCCTAGTTCGACTCAAACTTGTGGCAGTTCTCCTGCCTCAGCTTCCCAAGTGCTGGAATGACAAATGTGTGTAACCACGCCCAGCTGTTATGTGATCTCGAGAGAATGGCATTCAACACTAATGGACTCAGAACCAGAGATCATACTCTCTGTAATTACAGGCAGGACAGTGTTCTGGAAAGTCTATAGAGATTGTGGAGGACTCTCCGGTCCGAGTGCTTGGGAAGGCTGAGAGGGCACTCGGTGTGCAGGCATTCCTGTTTCCCTCAGACCCAGCCTCTCTTCTGTCTACAGATTGTGCGAGTGGAGCCCTTGGTGTCTATGGGTCAGGTGACAGCTTTGCTGAACTCCATTGGCTGGACCCTGCCTGTGTTGCCTGAACTCGATGACCTCACAGTGGGTGAGTGCCCCACCGCCATGGCAGGATGACAGCAGAGGAATATGGGCGCCCTTCCATACAGCAGATCTTCATGCTGGCTACTTTCCTGTTTGGGACGAAAATGGTTGTGTTCCATTTCTGAGTGGTTCAGATATTCTGATCCCATCTGCTTCCTCGTGGCTGTCCCTCACTCCAGTTATATCACTCTCAAACACAGAATGAGTTTGGTCCCTCTCCCTGGGGTCTGTGACCACCAACGTTCTTATCCAAGGCCAACACCTTCCCATAGGTCATAGCTCCCCCACCCACTAACCTCTTCACTAGATTTCCTCTCAAAGTGGCTTCACATACAGATTTTTTTTTTTTCTTTTTGAGACAGGATTTCTCTGTGTTTCCCTGACTGGAATTCCATCTGTAAACCAGGCTGTCCTTAAACTCACAGAGATCCCCCTGCCTCTACCTCCTGAGTGCTGGGATTAAAGGCATCAGGCACTACTGCAGGGCCACACACAGATTTTTTTTTTAACCTCTAAGGCTGGTCGGAGGTGAGGGTGGTGACCATCCTCGAGACCTCTCACTCCTGCTCCTCAAGCTGCTGATGGGGCATTCCCTATTTTAGCAGTCCCATTTCTGCCAGCCCCACCCAGCTTTCCCTGCTGATGTACGTGTCTCTGCAGGGGGCCTGATCATGGGCACAGGCATCGAGTCATCGTCCCACAAGTATGGCCTGTTCCAACACATCTGCACCGCCTACGAGCTGATCCTGGCAGACGGCAGCTTTGTGCGCTGCACACCGGTAAGTTCATGGATAAGGACATTAGGGGCCGACTGTGGAGTCAGGGAGGAAACTCTCCTTGGTCTTCTTCATTTCCAGTACATCTATTATTGGGCTGGACAGCCCCTTAAAAGAGCTGAGGCACTGTTAAGAACACCTTCATACGTATATGGTGTTTATGTTCTTCACCAACCTATGAGGTGAGTACTAAGATTACCCAGAGTCAGATTGGAAGCTAAAGCACAGAGAGGCTAATAACCTGCCCAGGGTCACACAGATAGTAAATCCTACACCGTTAAGACTTAAACTTGGGTGATTAGGTTCAGGGTGGGTACATCCCAGCCACCAGAAGAGAGCACGACGAAGGATGACTAGCTCAGGAGTTCCGGTCTGGGATCAAAGGACCCCAGTCAACCAAGAACTAAGTCACATTGGCTCAGTACATCTTCCACTGTCTCATCTGAGCTCTGAGCCCTGTCTGTTCATTATCAGGAGAAGAAAGGAAGACAGGCTTCTCTGAGGCTGGTTTCTCCTTTGACAGCCTTGTGAACTGAAGGAGGAAGGTTCTGGGGGGGAGGGTGGAGTCTGGCATAGAGCATGGGTGGAGTTTTGGCAGTTTGGGCTGCTGTGCTCAGGACAGTGAGATGAGCTAGTAGCCCAGGGACTGGGTTGGTTGACAGAGCCCTGCTGTGCCAGAGGCTTCCACTGCCTTCCTCAGAACATCCTTGTCTAGGCCCATCTCACCACTCCCATCCTGCCTACCACCAACGCAATGTGTGTTAGTAGCACTGGCACACCAGTAGACAATTGGTAAACCAGCCCAAGGCTGGAATTTGGGTTTGTTTGTTTGTTTGTTTGATAGGGGTTCTTTTAGACATAAAGAATCTAACTTAGATTGGCCGACGGCCACTGCTTCAGAGTTGGGAGATCCTACCTGAGCCCAGCTGATGCAGCAGACTTTCCAGGGAGCCTTGACTGAGACAGGTTAACTCATGCTCCTATCAAAGTGCACAGTGTCCTGCCAGACTCTGATGTAGGGTAAAGTGGACCAGGAAAGGTATTGTTACTTTTAGTGCCAGCCCAGGAAGGGCATTGGCACATTTTCATGCCTCCTGGATCCAGCTCATGTCCCCTGCACTGGGCCCCTCCTTCCCCCCCATAGTTCAGGCAGTTCTGGTCATGTCCGTACTGGGTGGTTCAGGGCCTAGGCCTCAGCAGCAGGAAGTGGATACTGTTTAGCTGAGCATCCCTGATACAGGGAGCAGTAGGAAGTTAAACATGAAGTAGGAATTGCTGAGGGAAAATTGAGTACAGGTGATAGCAACAGGCAGGAATCCAGTCCAGGCCCCATACCCCCTCAGTGACCATCAGAGGGCAAGCTCTCAGCCTGTGTCACTCCTCTCTCACAGTCTGAAAACTCAGACCTGTTCTATGCCGTACCCTGGTCCTGTGGGACCCTGGGCTTCCTGGTGGCTGCCGAGATCCGTATCATCCCCGCCAAGAAGTACGTCAAGCTACGGTTTGAGCCAGTGCGGGGCCTGGAGGCCATCTGTGAAAAATTCACTCAGGAGTCCCAGCGGCTGGAGAACCACTTCGTGGAAGGGTTGCTGTACTCCCTAGATGAGGCTGTCATCATGACAGGGGTCATGACAGATGACGTGGAGCCCAGCAAGGTAGGCCAGGGGAAGGAAGTGAGCGGGGGACTGCTTCATGTGGCATGGTCCACCAGGGTGCAAGTAACAGGCTCCCTCAGAGATATGGGGAGCCACAAGAGGCCTGTCTCCTCCACTGCTGCCACCCGCCAGTTATGTGCTTCCTGTATAGACAAAACCTGTTGTCTAATGACAGCCCATGTCATAGATGAAGAAACTGATGCTCCAAGGGGTAATTTAAATTTCTACAAGACAGGAGAACCAAGATTGAGTAATTGCTTTGATACGTCCTCCAGGCCAAATGGGCACACCCTCAGTTCACCATACACTGTAGAAGGTTTTATTAGCATATCTTAATTACACATAACAAGTGAGTAATGTTTTAATCTTTATTTATTTTCAGACAGGGTTACCTACTAGCTCAGGCTGTTCTGGCTGGGACTGTGTAATCCAGGCTAACCTCCAATTTACAGCTGTCTTCTTGCTTTAGTCTCTTAAGTGTGAGTTCTGGAATTATAGGTGTGAATCATTATGTAATATTTTTGGTTTTGTTCTGTTTTTTTATTTGTTTGTTAGTTTTTTTGTTTTGTTTTTGTTTTAGACAGGATCTCACTGTGTAGTCCTATGGTGTAAATCTTAGCTATGTAAACTAGGCTGTCCTCAAACTCAGAACCGCCTGATTATAGGCATGTGCCACTATACCCAGCAGCCAAGTAGTTTTTAATAGCAGAGTTCTTTTTCCCTCCGTTCAGACAGGATGAGTGCTTATGGTAAGACACCTGGAAGTACAAACAAATAAAAGACCCCACCCACACGTGTGACCCTAACTCGTTCCTCATTTATCTCCCCCTTATGCATACAGAAAACCTTTTCAAGTTGTTAAATTATGAACTAGGATGTTGGTGTTGAATGTGTAAGAAAGTTGAGGTGCATCCCTTCACTCCCGGGGTCATCACTTCCACAGTTTTCTCTACGCTTATCAGTGTCTGTGGTTGTGCATGTCCTGGCTTTATCCTATACAGACCTCTTCGTTGTGTGTGAGTACTTGGCCTGACCCATCATCCACTGATAAGCACTTTCCCTGAAGATTTAAGACTCTCCTTGTCCTTTCCTACCAACATGTTTATGAATGAATCCCGAACCAAGGTGTGAGCACCCGAAATGTGAGGGAGAGATTGAGAGCACACGGTCCTCAGTGGGGCAGCCGTGTGCATGCCTGCGTCCAGCAACAGGTGGCTGGAGGCCCTCCCCTGCATCTCTTGCCAGCTGTAGAGAGAGTATCACACTTTGATTTTTGCCAATCTGATAAGGTTAAAAATAGTCCCTCTCTGTTTTGTAGCTCTCTTGTTACATTTGAGGTTGAACATATCTTTATAGAGTTTTCTAGCTTGACTGCCCTTACCTGTGACTGTCTCTTTAAATTTGCCTTGTTCAAGTGGGTAAGCATTGTCCTGTGCTATGTTGCCTGAGTCAACTTAATGCCTTCAGAACAGTGCATTTAGCAAATGCCAGATCTGTCCATAGTTGGCAATTTAAGTTGCTTCCAGTTTTATTTTTATTTTAATAAGGAAAGCGTTGAGGAAACTTGTTCTTCATCAAAGTATTGGCATCTCTTAAGGCTGTGGCGGATACTTATATGCTTAAAATGTTTTAAAATTGGGGCTCTCAAGATGGCTTAGGAAATGTAGATACTTCCCACCAAGACTGACCACGTGAATTTGATCCCTGGGACCTACATGACAGAGGGAAAGAACTAACTCCCACAAATTGTCCTCTGTTACACACACAGACACACACACACACACACACACACACAAAATAAAGTTTGTTTTTGTTTAATTTAAATGGAGGGATAGAGGTTAGCCCAGTGGCTGTGTGCTTACCTAATATGTATGAGACTCTGGCTTCAGTAAAATATAATGTTTTGAAAAAGACTCAAAAATCATGGGGAACAAGCCCTTCTCCATATTAGGAAGTGAGACCCAGTGAGAGCTAGAGACTCCTGGAGATGCCCAGCAAGCACAGCGGGTTTACATTCTTGTCTCTGGCTTCTGGTTCACATGGCTCCCTGAGCGGAAGCTTCTAGAGCTTAGCAATGTCCATGGCATTGATGTCTGGAAGAGGATGTCCAGGAGCGTTAGCAACAGCAGCCATAGAGTTCAAGTGTTCTGTCTCTCTCTAGCCTCAAGCCTAGGCATTGTGAGCCTCCCACCCCTAATCACCTATGGGGTATCTGGTCTAGAGGTGTTACAGCTTCTCTAGGGCATTTCCTTAGAGACTGTCCACAGCATAAAGCTGAGGCAGAGTCTAGAGAAGCCACCCACCATACCAAAATAACTTCACTGTGGTCTGAAATCAGATGCCATCAGTGTGATGATTGCTTAAAGGATTTGCTCAGCTCCTAACATATTTAGATCCCTATACTTCCTGAGGAAGGAACAGGGGTCCCAAGACCTTCTCAGGAGCTCGTCCAAGCCCAGTGGTAGAAAAGACCAGAGGCCAGAGAGTCTTGCCATTTGTCCTAGCAGATAAGACCAGGACACCTAGTGCAAGTGGAGTTGGGACAGGAGAGTGGTAGATGCCGTCAGACGGGCCAGACATCCCAGTTTAGAAGCCAGCCAAGCACTGTGAAGGGTGAAGGACCCTCTGGTGGCACCATCCAGGGTGAGGCTGGACAGAGCCAGGCTGGAGGTGACTTTCTGTGGATATGTTAAACCCAGCTTGAGCCTCTGCAGCCTTCCCAGCTGCTCAGTGTCCTGAGTGATGGTTAGCTGGCGTATTTCCCATTTCTGGGCTTCTCTGGCACAGTGCTTCCTGACGATCTTGGACCCAGACACCCCAAGTTTCAACTTAATTACACAGTGGATGCCACTGCCAGGCGAGTGGCCTGGCCCCCACTGCCTCAGATCAAGTTGCGCAGTGTGCTGCTGGTTTCGGTCCCCTTCTGTCACCTCTGTCCACAGGGAAGCCAGCTGGGGCAAAGAGATTCTTCCACAAAACTGTCTTGCACCTGTGCAAAACTGGGCCTCCCTCTCTCCTCAGGCTCCACAAGAGGGTGGTACCCAGAGAAATCACAGGTGCTGGCTGCAGAGGGAAAGGCTGAAGGCCATGGCGGGGGAGGGGGTGCCTAGGGAACAGATGTTGTAGGCCACACCCGTGCTAGGTATGCCCTGTGTTATGTGTTTGACCTACACAGCCATTCCAGTTATCAGTGTCTCCATCTTGCCATATAGAAAGTGAGACACACAGGCTAAAGGATCAGCCTCATGGCTTGTACATGGGAAAAGCAGACTGGCATATAGAACAAACAGTATAGTGTGTTTTGGCTTTACTGTTTTGTTTTGTTTTGTTTTTGACAGAAAGTTGAAGCCTTGAAAATGTGTGTGTGTGTGTGTGTGTGTGTGTGTGTGTGTATGAATGTATATATTTTATTGTTAATTCACACATAGAAAACAGGGTTAGGGAGTAGTCTGTACCAGTTCACACTACTAGAGCATGGCTAAGCAATATTCAGCCCAGCCTCTCAGGCCTAAAAGCTGCTCTCTTCCCAAGAGAACCTGCCCAGAATTCAGTTCAGAGGAGTGGGGGCTGAGGTCTGAGCAGCTAGGTCCTCTTGGCACCAGACAGATCAAGGCCTGTAAGGCAACAGTTCAGTGTGCCACTTAGGCACTAGAGGACACAGAGTCCGTGGTCAGAACATTAACCACCTAGGACATTCCCTCCAGGAGAGGGAAATTATAGGGAGAATGCTGGGCCCAGAGCGCTGGTGCCAGGCAGGGGAAAGCAGGAAAGTGCTGTGCTTGGCTGTAGCTGTAGCAGTGAATTGCAGTAAGGGTGATCCACACTAGCTCAGCAAGGGCAGCAGGGAGCTAACACCCCAAATTATCACTGACACTGAACATTGACTCTGTTCTAATCAAGACATGAGCCATTAAACTCTGCAGACTGCCTGAGCCAGTGCACAGCACTGAGGTTCACTGAGTGTCTGCTCTCTGCGGGAGAGAGAGTGGCTGCTGTGCCCAACCCGCCCGGCTCTGAAGACTCTCCAAGGCCACAATTGACATGTCAGAGCTTTGCAAAGGCCAAGCGCATTAGACAGCGGCTGGATCACTGTTGCTCCCTGGTGGCTCCCTGGTGGCTCCTCTGTGGCCTGATCACAATGCCCTCTTGTCATTTCAGCTGAATAGCATTGGCAGTTACTACAAGCCGTGGTTCTTCAAGCATGTGGAGAACTACCTGAAGACAAACCGAGAGGGCCTTGAATACATTCCCCTGAGGCACTACTACCACCGACACACACGCAGCATCTTCTGGGAGCTCCAGGTGAGGCCCTGCCTCTTGAGACAGCAGGCCATTCACATTGTGGTCACAGTTCTCTGTCTCTCTGGTGAAAGAAATGGTCTCGTCCTTGTGGTCCAGCAGAGCACTTGCTGTGTTTTAGGCTGAGGACAGCCTGCTACAGTGAGAAGTTTGCTTTCACCACTGACACTGAGAGTGGGCCTTCCTTTGGGAAAGGTAGACCTTTATCTTCCTGGAAGCGTTACCATTGCTGAACTAAGGAACTCTAACTCTATGTGGGGCTAGAGCAAGAGGGGGGAGGGTTGTACAAAAGAAAGAAGAGGAGAGTCAAGTTGACCCTCGAAGAGAGCATAAGTCTGTCATTATGTTGTCGGGATGAGTGGACAGGTCGTAACCTTAGGAGATGATGCATGAGGTGGCACCTGGACTTGGGGAGGACAGGCCACACAGGACCTCCAGGAGAGCCTCTGGGCAGAGAAACAGCCAGTGGCTGGCCAAGAGAATTATCTAGTGTCTGGTGTGTAGTTCTGGGAACTCAGTACACACATGAAGCTGTGGTGGCTTCACCTTCATAGGGCCCCAGATGTTTTCTTTGTACTGTAAGGAAACCTCGTGCTCACTGAGCAAGTAAGCATTTTGCACATTCTTTAGGGGACACACACACACACACACACAGGAAGTGCAGTTGTTGGAGAATGGTAATCGTGTGTCTTAACTGTGGAGGTCCTGCCACAGTGTCCCCCACCATTGCTATGATGCTTACGTTTCCCAGTCTTCCTGTCCTGGCCAATACATAGTTGTGATTTGTAAGCCATTGTTATTACAGTCATCCTCAGGTGTGCAGTGGTGCCCCAAAGGGGTTTGATTGTAGCTCCTTATTGATCTCTTCATGTTGAGCATTGTGTAGGTGTTTGTGGGCCATTTGTGGGGTCTTTGGTTGGTTTTTATTTTTTAGTTTGTTCATTCATTTTTGGTGTGTGTGTGTGTAACACACATGTACTATGATGTACGTGTGGAGGTCAGAGGACAACTTATAAAAATCAGTTTTCTTGCTCTCCCTTGTGGGTCCCAGAGATTAAACTCGAGTCATCGGGTTTGGCAGTGAGTGCCTTTATCCACTGAGCTAACTCGCGAGCGCCTTTGTTCATTCTTCCTGGTCTGTTTGTGTTTTGTTGTTGTCGTGTATGTGTTTTCACATACTTACAGATCTTCATACAAGATACTGAACCATCAGCAGATTCATGATTTATAAATATGTCTCTCCTCCTGCACATTGCTTTTCATGGTTTTGGCAACGTGTGACGATGTGTGTACGTGATTTTCGTGTAAATGAATCCCAACTTTTATCCATTGTCTCAATGTCATACTCAGGGATGTATTAACAAACGCAAGCTCACAAAGATCCTCTTCATCCCCCAGTCTACGCCTGCCTCCGGGAGCTTCAAGGCTGTGACTCTTTCACTGGGTTGAACATTTGGCACCTCCTGTGTGAGGCAGGAGTCAGCTGCAGTCTCCTGCACCTCTCTGTCCAGGTGTCCCTGCAAGCTGCATATGTCTGAAACACAGCAAGGCTGCCCAGCTAGAGCCGAGGTACAGAATGAGGTCACACGTCAGCCGGAGGCTGGATCACATGGCTCCTTGTAGGTCAAGTGAGAACCTAATGCTTTATTGTGGGTGCAATAGGAAGTCAGTGGGGGCTTGGAGAAGGTAGGTGATGTGTCCTAGTTTTTATTTTTAAAGAATATCTTTGGTAGCTGGGTGGAGAGTTGGGTAGTTTGGGGCCTAAGAGATCATGGAAGAGGAGATGAAAGATTTCTGTTGTCTGGGAGGCATCAGAGAAGAAAAGTAGCCTGAGGCCCAGGGACTGACTGTTAAGCTGACCTGCAGGATTGCCAGACAGATTGGCATGAGATCAAGGCTGAAGACCCAAGAACTAGGTGAACGAGGTCCCCTAACTGTGACATGAAGCCAGGGATGGGTGGAGGTAGCACATGGTGAAGGGCACTGGAAATTCTGCCTGGAGTTTATCTGTTGAAGGTACTTCATTGGGAATGCAAGTGGGGCCCTAAGTTGGTAGGCAGTCAACTGTGTGCTTGAGGACCAGAGGGTCTCAGCAGGGATAAAGACCATGTGTTTAAATATGGGCCCGTGGCAGAGAAATGTTTTTGAGTTTGTAGGGGAAACGTTTGGGTGTGATTGTTTTATGTTTGAGATAAGATCTCTTGTAGCCCAGGATGGTCCTTATGTAGCTGAGGCTAACCTAGATCTTCCTGTGTCCACTCCCCAGATGCTGAGCGAATAGGCCTGTTCAACCACACCTGGCCTTTTCTTCTTTTTGGCAATTGATATTTAAAGCCAAGATAGTAGGTGCATAAACACACCCAGCCCTGGGTGCCCCACAGCCCTGGAGAGGAGGAGCCAGCAGAAGAGAAGGTGCCCTTAACCATAGCCCTGTAGAGCTGTAGAGAGCTTCAGGAAAGTGTTGAGTGCTAAGTGAGACGAGGGGAAAGAGTCAGCTTTGGATAGCAGGTGGAAGACTGGGCTGGTGAAAACCAGTCTCAGGGGTACTTCTAACGGAACAGACAGACTCAGGGGACAGGAGCCAGAGCTGAGGATGGAGCTAAGAAAGACTCTTGTTTCTATGATTGTTTTCAGGAGAGATGCCATCATGGTTATGTGTCCTGGGACAGATGAGGGGAATGACTGTGTGGGGTGGGGGCTGTTTAAAGAGTAGCATGGCACCTTGGCTCAGCCGAGAAGGTGGCCTCTTGGGAGCATGCGTAGGAGGGAACAGGCGCTTGAAGTTGGGGACAGCTGGGCAGCCCTTCTGTTTGTCTGTAATTTTTCAATGAAATCAGAAGTAGGAATTTCAGCCAGGGCATGGCCACAGCTTGAGAGGGGTGGCGTGCAAATTGTCCCTTAGACAATAGGAAGTTCATTGTCTGGGAATGACCACGGGATTCAGCCTCCTAAGACTGGTGACCATGAATTCATGGCAAGGCAATGTGTGGCTGTGAGTTTTCACACTGTGAAAGTGACACCAGGTGGTTAGAGCGGGCCACCTCTAGGGGAGGTTGGACAGTAGGAACTGTGGAGTAGATAAATATAGACACTGGTTGTCTGAGGCTCCGGAACATTTTTAAAGGACCAACTAGCTGATATTTTAAGCTCTTTTACTCCATCAACTGAGCCCTGCTGCCGAGATAATCCCATGTGGTACAGCTGGCTTGGGAAAAGATATCCTGGGACTGGTTTGGCTCTGAGGTTGGATCACCATGGTGACAATGTTGCCGGAGATATGACCTGAGAACAGTAGCTCAGCTCAGTGAAAGATAAGATTGCTGGAAGATACAGGCACACCGAGCGGGGGAGCTGGGGGTACCGAGTGTGGGTAGATCATATCTGCGAGTATTAAAATCACCAAGTATGAGTGCAAATGAAGGCAGCGGTGGTCCTGGACTCAGTAAGGGAGAGCTGCATCGGACCAGGGCGCTGTGAGGAGATACAGTGGTGCATGCCTCAGTGATAAGAGCCACGAATGTGAGGTGAGGGGTAGCCGTGAGAGTGGGTGAGAGGATGGTGCCGTGGTCCCTGTCTCATTGAGCGGTGCCAGGAAGTAGGGTAAGCAGATTGCAGTGCTTCAGGCTTCAGTAAGGGGTCCATGAGAGCCAGGGGGAGGTGATGGATGGATGGAGGAAGCCCTTCCTGACTCCACAGGCTCCTTGCGCTGCATCACAGCAAAGTGGTGGCCTCCCCCATGACAGATCACCTGAGAGACTGAAGTGTGCCTACCATGTCAAGGTTTCCAGTCACTCCTGCCACACCCCACGTGTTAGCACCAGGTGTCATTTACTTGAACCCACTTCAGCTGAAGGGCACTGAGCCCCCACCTCATGAGGAGATAGATTTTAAACCACTTCAGTCTATGCTCAAAATGAGGCTTGCCATATCTTTGTGCAGTTCTGTGAACACTGTCCTAAGCTGCCTTCATTTACAGGAAGGAACTGGAAGAACGGGTGTTTAAACCTGTGTGTGCTCACCTGGAGTTTACACTGGGGAATTAGGAATGCCAGGCAGTAGGGAAACAGGACTAGGCAGCAGGAGAGGCCACGCTGTTGGTCACATGGAAGGTTTCAGCTGGCCCACAGAAGCTCCAAGTAGGTTTGGCCTTCAGAATAGCATGCCCTTTGAGATCAGTGGACTTTGCTCACACCTCTGCTCTAGTCCAGGCCTTTCTTCCCTCCTCCTTGCCTGATGAAGCAATTCCCTTCTGCCATGGGTGGTTTCCTGAGAAGGGACCCAGTTCTGAGTGTCCCTGGGGAAGTGGGTGGAACACACAGCTAGACGGAGTCATAGACATTCTGGAAGCTGAAACCTTTCTGATAAGGGAAATACAATTTAGGCTTACCCTCCAAGACACCACCTTTCTTTGTTTCTTTCTTTCTTTCTTTCTTTCTTTCTTTCTTTCTTTCTTTCTTTTTTTCTTTCTTTCTTTTTTTTGTTTTGTTTTTTTATTTTGTTTTTTTTTCGAGACAGGGTTGTTCTGTATAGTCCGGGCTGTCCTGGAACTCACTCTGTAGACCAGGTTGGCCTCAAACTCAGAAATCCACCTGCCTTTGCCTCCCAAGTGCTGGGATTAAAGGCGTGCAACGACCACTGCCCGGCTAAGACACCACCTTTCGATTGGCCGCCTTCTTTACTTTGCTCCCTGTAGAAAAGGGCTTTTGAAAGAACCAGGTGAACCTCCATTCTGGGTGAAGTCAGCCCATCCCTCGCCTGGGCCTAGCCTGACTGGCTCAGACACCTCCCAGCTTCCCCGACTTGGGTCACTGAGCAACTCTAAAGTCCAGGGCCAGCTAGGTAACCTGTGGGGCCCACACACAAAGTAGGCCTAGAGTGCCACTGAACATACTAAAACATAATGTCTTTTCCTCTTTCCTGTCCTAAATGTGTGCATAGTAAATACAAAATGAATTAAGTTATTAGCATGTGTTTTAAGTATAAATCTGAGAGCACTTAACTCCTCTGATTTGTATATTTTTTGTTCCTAAGAATGCAGTACTAGGCCAGGCAGTGGTGCCGCACGCCTTTAGTCCCAGCACTCGGGAGGCAGAGGCAGGCGGGTCTCTGGATTCAGGGCTAGCCTGGTCTCAGAGTGAGTTCCAGGACAGCCAGGGCTACACAGAGAAACCCTGTCTCAAACAAACAAAAAACAAAAAACAAAAAAAAATTAAAGAGGAAGAAGAACACCGCTCTGGGGCTCGGTATTAGGGTGTTTGTATGAGGCCTACGTTCAATCCTTGTAGTGGGGTTGGCAGAGGGACAGACCACTGTCTCATCAGTACTTTTTGCTCTAGAGAGCTGATTCTGTGATTAAAGCATTTGTTGTTCAGGCATGAAGGCCTGAATTTGAATCCCCAGAACCCACTTAAAGCTAAGCATGAAGCCACACACGTCTATAATCCCAGAGCTTCTGAGAGATGAGGCAGGAGAATCTCTGGAAACTTCCCATTTGGTTAGCCTGGCACAACAACAAAAGAAACCTTATTGCATGCAAGGTAGAAGGCAAGGACAATACTCAGAGTTATCATCTGACCTCCATATGTGACCTCCACAGACATGCTTGCATGCGCGCATACATACACACACACACACACACACACACACGCACACACACACACACATACAAAGACTCTTTATTTTATTTTATTTTATTTTATTTTATTTTATTTTATTTTATTT